CCAGACAGATTTCATGGCCAATCCTCAACTCTCTGCACGGCGCGGTCGATCTCCTGCCCACCTTCGTTGGCTCGGCGTCGTCCCCGAACGACAGTTTTGAGTGGAAAGGCGCGTGCTTTTACCAGAACACGGCGTGGATGGAGTTCCACAACAAGACTGGCAGCGAATTTGGCGGCGGAACTCTTCATCTCAAGGTCTCGGATCACTTTTTGGGTTTTTATTAAATTTCATTTTCGAGTTAGGTTTTTGGCAATTTGTAGTTTTTGAGTATTTGGATGATTGGGTATTGAGATTCCTTAGCTGGGTTTGTGGAAATTTGAAGTTTTGGTTACCAGGACATTAAATTTGAATTTTTTAGGAGGGTTTCTACGTTCTTGTTTCAAAAATGACTAACTTGTGGTTTTTCTTAGGGATTTTAGTTTTTTTTTATTTTTTTTTTATTTTTTATTTTTAATCCTTTTTTGTAGGTAAATTATTATGCATTTGGATAATTGGGTTTGTGGGTTATTTGAGTTGTTGATTGTATAGTGGGAGCTTAGGCTTGTGGGTTTACTGCTGTTGGTTTTTTCTTAGGTTGAATCAATTGGTAAGTTTATTGGATATTCTAGAACATCAGAGTTGGGGAAGTTGGATAGTGAGGGCCGTTTGATAACCATTTCGATTGCAGTTTTCGGTTTTCATTTTCACTGTATAAATGAAAACTGAAACTAGAAACTAAAATTTAAAATTTAAAAGTTGAAAACTGAAAACTGAAATGATTCTCAAACGGACCTGAGGTGTTGATTACATTTTTGAGTTGAGCTTCTGGTATTTCTTTAGATTGTTTTGTGGGTTTTATGATCCAAAACATATCATGTTGGCTTAATTTTTGGGAATTTTCAGGTAGTAGGTATCAGGTGTGTCGACATAGGTGTCATTAATTTCATATTTATGAACCTGAACTTCTTATGATTCTTTGATTACTAAAGTAGAGAAAATACCTGATTTGTATTATAACGATTAAAAACTGAATCTGTCTGTGCGCAGGTTAGTAAGCCTCACAGTTGGACGTGTATGGATATTTACGTCTTTGCAACTCCATACACTGTCACATGGGATTACTATTTACTGTCTCGGGAGCATACATTTGAGTTTAAAGAGTGGCAAGGAAAAGACGAGTTTGAATATGTGAGTTGCCACTTTCTAGTATTTAGATATTATTTGATATTTTGATTTGGTTTGAAAGGAAAAGTTGGGATTAATTTGGTCTTTAATCTTACCTTTTCAGGTGAAAAACAAGGGAGTTTCTATTTTCCTTATGCAAGCAGGGATGTTAGGCACCCTTCAAGCGTTGTGGGATGTCTTCCCTTTGTTTACGAATACTGGATGGGGTGAGAACTCTAATATTGGGTTTCTTGAGAAGCACATGGGTGCTTCCTTTGATCAGCGTCCTCAACCTTGGGTAACAAATATTAGCATTGATGATATTCACTCTGGAGATTTCCTAGCAATATCTAAGATTCGTGGACGGTGGGGTGGATTTGAGACTCTAGAAAAGTGGGTGAGTGGAGCTTATGCTGGTCATTCTGCTGTTTGTTTAAGGGATTCTGAAGGAAAGCTATGGGTTGGTGAATCAGGACACGAAAATGAGAAGGTGAGCTACAAGTTCGTAAAATATTATATCGTATTATACATCTGTTTTACCTTGGGCCTAGTGGCATATTCTCTCCCTCAAGAATAAAGCTTTGGTTTGGAGGTTCATTTCCAATTAATGCACAGGAATTTGCGGGTCAACTTTTTTTATTTTTAAAATTTTACTATTTTTCTTCTAGTATTCTATATAATACAATCTGCTGTTAATGTTATAAGTGGTGCTTCTCAAGAAGTTCATGTTGAAGGTGCTTTTTCCTTCCATATTCTAGGGGGAAGATATTATTGCTGTGCTTCCATGGGATGAATGGTGGGAATTTGAGCTAAATAAAGATGATTCCAATCCCCATATTGCATTGCTTCCCTTGCATCCTGATATACGAGCTAAGTTCAATGAGACTGCTGCCTGGGAGTATGCAAGGAGCATGGAAGGTCAACCTTATGGTTTTCATAACTTGATATTCAGCTGGATAGATACTATAGAAGACAACTATCCACCCCCTTTGGATGCTCACGTGGTATCATATCTTTACTACATTTAATATTTCATTATGTGGCTAAGTTTACGTATAAGTAAATGCTACAATCGTAACTAGTTCCCTTAGTATTTGTGTTTGATTATTTAGTTCCGGTTTAGTTATTATTGAACTTGGTAGTTTCCATTACCTGTCTGGGTTGAGGGCTGGGATTCAATAGAGGACTTGAAAAGCTAACTATTAGGTGCTTTACCCCAATCTTTCTCTTTATGATCATTAACTTCTGGCTTTCACACAACTCTATAAACGTGATGGGTATGGATATCGAAGTGCTGATGCAGAAATAATATGACTGTTTCATAGCGGACTAAAAGGGGTCTATGATGAGGATAAAGGTAGAAATTTCGTCTAACTAAAACGTTTCCAATAGGGTTATAAGTAGTGGGCTCTTTCACTGGAACAGAAGATAGAAAGAAATGCCTTGTTTAGGTTCATAGTGATTTGTGAGGCAACTCTCCTACTCTCTGCTGATGCTTCTGTGAGCTTCAATATGTTTTTTTAAACCTTAAACATTTTCCTGATCATTAGCTTTATGGTTATGCAGGTTGCATCTGTTATGACTGTTTGGAATCAAATACAGCCTGCATATGCTGCGAACATGTGGAATGAAGCCTTGAACACGAGACTTGGAACAAAGGTGTTTGAAACGTGCAGTATCAATTGGTCAAGATTTTCATTTTTTAGTCAATATCGTTGAGTCATTAATTTCCATTTGAGTTTCTGATGTACCCTTTGTATTTCATGCAGAACCTAACTTTTCCGGATATTCTAGTTGAAGTTGAAAAGAGAGGATCATCTTTTGACCAACTGCTGACAATTCCCGAACAGGATGATTGGGAATACAGTGATGGGAAGTCAACATCGTGTGTGGCCTTCATTCTTGAAATGTATAAGGAGGCAGGACTGTTTGGTCCAATTGCAAGCTCTATCCAGGTCACTGAATTTACGGTGAGTTTATCGTGAACAAAATTTAATCTGTTTGCTTTGAATAACCGGGCCACCTTTTTGCATCATCTCCAAAATTAATGCACTATCTGGAAAGGGGGAGAATTGATACTAGTTCTAGGGAGACACAAGATGAATGACGAATATCTTTTGTTTCCTCTTCAACATGAATTGATGAAGTAGTAATGTTTCTACTTAATAATTGGATAGTGTTGTAACAATTACAAAATAAACAAGGAAATTGTTAGATTAATGTAGCTCTTGATCAAAAAGTATTTCAATGCTGGTACTTTGTAACGAAGTTATCTCGTAAGGAATTTATATGTTGATTCTATTAATTATACCTTTTTTTCTGTCATTGATGCAGATAAAAGATGCTTACATGCTCAAGTTCTTTGAAAATAATTCAAGCCGCCTGCCAAAGTGGTGCAATGATGGTGACACCGTGAAGCTTCCTTTCTGTCAAATTAAAGGGAAGTATCGAATGGAATTACCTTTATACAACACTATGGAAACGTACCCCCATATGAACGAAAGGTGCCCATCACTGCCCCCCAAGTACTCCCGGTCGCAGAATTGCTAAGTCCTGATTTTGTTGCGTTTACATTTGTTACACCCATGGTCGAAGTTGTTCACGTTTCTGTTGATTTTAGCATAATTTTACGGTTGGATACGTAGGCATGAAAGATGGGGAAGCTGTAAATATGTTCTTCTGTCGGGTAAGCAGTCTAAGTTCTCCAATTGTTGTACAATGTAGATGATAAATGGACCACGAATTTTAATGCAAAGGGGTAATCTCTTCATTTTCCGGAATGTGTTTGTTCTTCTTCTTAGTATTCTTAACTGCTCTGTAATTGGGAGCCACAACATTGTTCGAACAAGTAGTAATGAGAGGAGATGACATTGTGCATAGAATGCAAGGGTCTTGCAGCATGCACCACTGTATTGTATTCGATGGGTCCTTAGCCGCCCTTGGTCTTTAGATTGTTGGCCCCACATCCAGCCTTTTGTAGGTGTATACCATACACCAGAGCATAGCAGAATTTGCAAGAGAGTTGGGTTTTTCGAACCATAAGTTGGCTTTGCCTAAGTTCTGTAGAGATTGATTTGATGGTCTAATACAAGGGAGTTTTAACGAAAAACCATATTTTTACATTTTTTTGGTACCATTCACTACACCTTCATTCGTCTTTTTTCATTAAAACTAAAGTTTTTTTGAACTTTTCGTTAGTTTTCATCTAACATACAAATGTAAGATGGCATAAACATTAGTTCATGACAGTTTCCTCCCAGTTTGTCAAGAGATTGGTTTGATGAGTCATAAACACCAGATGTTTTTGACAAACTTAGATTGACTTGATCGTTGCTAGATACCTGGTCACATTCACATTGACTCCCTTAATGATTTCATTTTTTTTTGGACCAAGTCGGGACATGATCGGACACTCAATGGCATGCGCGAGGCAAAGGACGAGTTTAGTTAATGGCAGACGATGGTTTACAGAATCTAGGCCTAACCGAGACAGTTGATTCCTTAAAGAGTATGGCCAAAAGGACTGCTTCCAATCCTACTACGGTGGAAGAGAGAAGTTTCCTTCATGGCTAATCCATATAGTGAATCTAATTCAATCCTCACCACCAAACGAGGCCTAAGTAAAATTAGGACTCATTTGAGGTTCCCATTGAAATAAAGTCTTCCATCCATCTAATTCCTGTTTTCAAACAAGCAGAATTTTACTTGAATTCATGAGAAACTAGGGTTATAATCCCATGCACTGAAGGCCGTTCCCCTCGACCATTAAACAAGAGTTGGCTAAACAAAGAAATCAAAGGGTCTATTACCGCAGTCACTTGATTCGATTAAAAGTAAGTAAACAAAGGACGAGGCAATGAATGAAGCAAGATTTCGACAAATTTCAGACTTGTCTATCGTTTTATACACACACTGACACACCTGATAGCACAGTATCTAGTGATATTGGATTGACTAACAGCTTGGTAACATCAAATATGGGCATGTGGAAGTGGAAGGGTGTAATTTAAATATGTCAGCTTATAAGTTTTGGCAGTATGTCCTCAAATACCATTACTTGGTCTTGGCCGGAATATGGTTTCCACCCGTTGCAATTTTGTACAGATAAAATCCAGTCATGACAACGCTGCAAAAAAAGAAAGTAGTTTAGATTCAAAAACTTCGAATATATCCTGTTACAAAGGAAGATCTATGAATAATAGAAACTGTTAGGATCTCCAAGTAAAGGTTTTAATCATAGGTAAATTAGAGTCCACAATTAGGATTCATGACAACGATAGAAAAGCTATACGATTACTGCAAAATGATAACCACATGTGACTTTATAATCTGATATAGGCGCATCGCCTTCCCTCCTTTATGCCCAATCATATAACAGGGTTACAGGATTGAGAATTAGATTCCACTCCAGCTCTCGTTACTCTCCCATTTCCTAATCGACTTCTTTTACCCCTCCTATTCTGCAGAGACCACAGATAGTGGAGAATGCGGGAAGACAGAAAAAGGTGAATCATTCAAGTATGATATTCCGATGGCACTGATTGTACAGCGCTAAAACAGTTTCAACAGAAAATATGATTCAGGAGAGCTTCACTCGTTCAGTGAGCGGGGACACATGATTGGGTGGATTGACCGGAAAATATGATATCCAAGTGTGTGATTTGAATTTGGATGAAAATTCAACCAAGTCAAGTTTCACCAAATAGTGACGTCGATAAAATTTAAAGGGCTATAGACAGGCCATTCTTGAAAGACAACTATATATAACATCTGCTAATCTTTGAAAGAACTAACTATCCACAAACCACTGACCACATCAACACATGTTCCACATGCCTCCAGTGCACAAACTGATTAATACCAGTAAATTAAAAAGGTTACATTTGTTCAATTACTCTATGCTAATGCCAGCTAGGGACGAAAATAAGATATTCAAGCATTGGGAATGGAATTTACTCGTTGGAAATAAAAAACAGGGGAATCAATGAAGTCATATACCGGATGCATAAGGTTACTTCTAATAACTAACAGACTGATCACACACAAAATTTGGAAATGCTCCTGTGCACTAGTAAATAATTGATAGATAAATATCCAGCGAACTGAAGAATGAGAAACACATAAAAAGGCAGATTTAATCTGAACTCACCTGATACCAGCAACAACACCAGCCGGCATGATCTTAAAAGTATGCAGATAGCGCTGTCCCATGACCCACGTAAGCAGGGCAGCACAAACTGTTACAAGGCGCATCAATTAGTTCCAAAACAACATCTCACAGAGATTGAGCATCAATGTAACAGGAGCCGAACATGAAGACAGAAAAAGGACGAGAAAAACAACAAATGCGACCTTATACAAAACCATCTTTCTTAGTCTCTTCAATTCTTAAAATTCTTGAAATTTTGATAGGCAATCACCGAGCACATTACACCTAAAACCACTTCGCTCAAATTGCCGTACCATGGTCAAATCATATTGCATTGACTAAGGCATAACTGTTTAGTTCTATGGCATAAATAAACCCTGCTTAGAATGAGCCTAGACATAAAGAAATAACGTACTTCGACATCAGTGGAGAACCAAACCTTTGGGATTTTACGTTGGCATTTCTAGCGTTACTCTAAGGTGACGATATCCCAAGCCTATCACCCGTCACCATGTGTTTAACTTGCTCACACGGCATAGCGTGACTGATTCGGGATACCGTTACCTTAGCCTATGAGTTGTATGTAAGTTCTTCTCCACAACGACAAACAGAAACCGAAGCTAAAACTACAAACCTAGAGACAGTTTTAACAGGAAACAAACACAACGCCTCCAGATTACTAGAGGGAACAAAACAACCTCAAAAAAGAAGTCAGTTTTCAAACATAAACATCTGCAAAGTTAATGCAATCAAATAAATAAACTACATAAAAGTTACCTACTTTGTGATCCCACGATGTTTTCATCTCAACAAACAAAGATCCGGATTCTGATTTGGTTTTTTATTTTTACTTATTTCCCCTTTTAACGTCCTATGATCTCCGTAAAGTTTCATTTCAAATCTGGAATCCACACCATTAAAACAAAAAAAAATCAAAAATCAATAAATCGTACCCGTTTCGAGAATCAGAGCAGGATACGAGTTCTTCTTCTTCTCGAAGGCTTTGAGACTGATATATCCAGCAAGAGTGAGGAGCAATCCGATGCCCGCGCCTCCAGCCAAAGAAGCCGTGCTCCCCTTCTTGAAATATCCAAAAACTCCTCCGCCGATCAGCACCAACCCGTAGGGGATCGTGAAGCAAAAATCGTGCATCTTCTCCAACTGGGTTTCCGGGAAAACTCTCAGATTATCGGGGAAAAAACCAGACTGGTTTATCCTTAATCGCTCACGAATTAAAGATTTTTTTCTTCTACAGGCAGAGACTTTTGTGTTTGTCGTCAGTATTGGCGCGTGGAAAGCTCATACCTCTAATATAATAACTTTGACTAAACTGCCGATTTTCCCCCTAACTTTCACTTAATTTTTGATTTTTTCTTTAAATTTTTTAATTAAAAAATTAAGAATTTAAGATAATTTTTCGATCGATTTCTTAATTTTTTCATTCTATCTAAATTTTTGTTAAATAAAAATATGCGCACAATATGGGAGAATAAGTCGATCGTCTTGTTCTTTAAAATAATTAAAAATCTTAGATTTCTAAAATATTGACTTATCTAAATTTGTGTGATTTTATAATTTTTGTGTCTAAATGTCCAGCGAAGTGACGTTTTTTATTTTCAAAGGAGAGTCACATGGCATGCGCGTGATAAGAGTTAATTTTAATTTGGATAAAATCTACGGAAAACTAACGGCAAGAGGAAACCGGCCAGAAAAATTAGTTTAAGTATTTGATTTTCCAATTTAAAAATTTGAAGGTAAATCGAAAGTTAGGTGAAATTTTAGGAATAAATCGGCAATTTACTCTAATAACTTTATATAATCATATATAAAACGAGACGTCGTCTTGTAAAACATTAGGCTACTCGTCGTCTTATCACATTTGTTTTCTTTTTCTACCATGGCTACTCGAACACATAGACGCTGGTTCGGTTCTCGGAGCCGAAACAACAATCTCTGCTCACTTCTCCAAAACCCTTGCTTTCTTCCTCAAACCCTAAAAATGGTGACTACTCAGGCCGCTTCCAAACGACCAATTTGCCCATCGTGCTCCAAACCGGCCCGGCTCTGCCTCTGCTCTCGGATTCAGAACCCGGGGCTCCATAACTCTGTAAGTGTGACCATTCTTCAACACAGCTTAGAAAAGAATCACCCACTTAATTCCGCTAGGATTGCTAGATTAGGCCTCAAGAATCTCAGTGTAGTTACTGTTTCTGATGTTAATTTTGAATCCCAGTTCGTTATCCGGCCGCTGGACTCGGTTTCTCAAATGGGTTCGGACCGGAATGGTTTGAAAAGTTTAGGTTTTGATGAAGTTGTTGAAAGTAGAAAGACCCAGAAGCTGGATTTTGAGTATTGTGATGGGTTCAGCTCAGGGGAAGAAAATGTGGGAAAGTTGGGATTTGGGTTATCTGCAAATTTGGCAGAAGAGAGAAACAATAGTAGTTTGATTGATTGTGAGAAATGCAATTTTGGTAGTGATTTAGGTGATATGAGTAGTTCTCGAAGCCAATTAGGGGATGTAGATTTTGTGGAGAAAGAACATGAATTCAGTAGTGAAGATTTCACTGATGGTATACACGTAGATGGGCAATGCAATGTCGATGAGGTTTCTGCTTCTACTGCGTTGGATGCATTATCCGAGGATTCTGATGTAGGTTTTGATGCGGTTGAAGGTATCGAAAGGGGTAATGGTGATCCTGTTATAACTGCTACCATTGGTAAGCATGGGGTCATTAGCTCACTTTCGCATAATTGGATGCCACAAACCTGTTGCAAGGATCTGAAATTTGATACAATTTTAGACATAGCAGATGCGCGTGGTGCACTATCAGAGGGGTTTGTTGTACGGAAGTTGCAAAAGCAGCCGTTGAAGGGAAGCGTGGAGTTGGATGAGTATGTGGAGTTTGAGGTAGAAGTTCCTCCTGGATCTGTACTCTTATTTCCATCTGAAGAAGCAGTCAGTGTCGGGGACCTTGAGGCGATGGATATTAAGGTGAAGAATCTGATTGTTTTGGATGGAACATGGTCAAAGGCAAAGAGAATGTATGGGGAAAACCCCTGGTTGAAACTCTTGCCCCACTTGAAGTTGAATGTGGAGAAGATGAGCTTGTACAGTGAAGTGAGGCTTCAGCCGAAGCCGGGATTTCTCTCCACTATTGAGAGCATTGTGTATGCACTTAAAGCAGTAGGGGACAGCCCTGGGGCGCTGGCTGAGGGGCTGGACAACCTCTTGGATGTTTTCAGGTCTATGGTCGAGGACCAGATACGATGCAAAGAAGAGAGATTAAGCAATGTCTCGCCGGAGTGAGTTTTGTCCTCGATTTCTACAATTTCAACATCATCCTGAAACCTGGCGATGAAAGCCATTGGAGTTGCTCGGTTTGTGTTTCAAGAAACCTGTTTGTGTAAAGCCATGTTTCATGGATATCAATGAATTTGAAAACAACCATGAATTTTTGCCTTCTCTTTTCAATTATTTATGCTCGGTTTGTCAAAATCCAACTGGCAAGCCATAATGACAAACGGTTGTATCGTGTTTGTCGAAGATGTATCAGTAACATGTTGATATGTTTTTGTTTTGAATAGTCGGGAATGTTGAATCAAAATTAGAACGGACATTTGATGCATACCGGAGTATTAATAATATATCATATTAAAACGACATCTTCGACAACATGTGCTGATACATTTTTGTCCACGACAAAGATGTATTAACATTGGTATGGGCGTGTCTAGTTCTAGTAGCACTCTTTTGACATAACATATGGGTTTCTTTTAACTGTGGCCGTCGCATTTACGATGTTATCCCTTCGTTGCCACGCGCAAATTACTGTTATACCCATTTCTTCAACCCACCCAGTCCGAGTGCCAAGTCAGTCTGGTTAGCAACCAAACCGAACTGAACTCTGCTGCGCTGCGATGATGAAGCAACTCTCATGGCGTCACTCACCTCACAAAACCCTAACCCTAACCCTAGACCCAATCAAACCATTCCTTTCGATCTCCCGCCTTCTGACCCAGTCTCTCTCTGATGACGCATACGAATACGACCCTCCGTTCTCTCCGGTTTCCAAACACTCAAAGCCCAAAAAGAACATGACTCTGTCTAAAGCTCCGGACCCGAAGAATGACCCGTCCCGGCCTCTCAAAGCGGACCTGCCCTTCGACTTCAGCTCCTCGGATTTGGAGACCAACCCAGCGGTCGAACCTATTGCGTACCGAGAGTCCCCCAAGTTCTATCCTTTTGGGCCCGGTCAGCTTGATCGGAAATGGACGAGCATTGTTACACCAGCCCAGCAAGAAGTGGACTTGGACCGGGTCGCGGAGGAGAGAAAACGGGTTCTCGGAGACCCACTAACGGAGGAGGAAGCGGCGGAGCTGGTGGAACGCTACCGTCATAGTGATTGTTCTCGGCAAATCAATATGGGTAAGGGTTTTCGGTTAGGGTTTAGGATTCTGAAATTATTCAGGCATTTTATAGTATAATATGTAACTGGTTATATATGTAAGCTTTGTAGTCATTGACTTGGATGAGAATTTTTTGTATCAGGAAAGGGAGGAGTTACACATAACATGTTAGATGATATCCACAACCATTGGAAGCGAGCCGAGGCGGTGAGGATCAAGTGTTTGGGAGTGCCAGCTATTGACATGGACAATGTTTGCTTCCACCTTGGGGTTTGAACTTAACTCATGCTCCATAATTGAATCATAGGTTGAATTTCGTTGTTCGGAAATTATTAGCTGATGGGTATGGTAGTGTATATGCAGGACAAGTGCGGTGGGAAGATTATTTACCGACACATTAATGTCCTTATTTTATATCGGGGTAGAAACTATGATCCGTAGAATTGACCTGTAATACCTGTAATGCTCTGGAAGCCGTATCCTCCGATATATCCAAAGCTTGTGAAGAATGTTGCTGACAGTTTGTCATTTGAAGAAACGAAGGAGTTAAGAAACGGAGGACTAAACTGTCCACCTCTAATGAAACTTAGTAAGTGTCTTCTCTTAAAATAGGTGAACTTAGGAAGTGAATTTTGATTGTTGGATGTTTCGGCTGATGTCTGCGTTCCTTTGTTGTTTATAATAGTAAATGGGATGTGGAAAAATTTCGTGGTCACTTAGCACAATTTTTTCTTCTGCAGCTAGAAATGGTGTGTATGTGAATGTTGTGGATAGAGTTAGGGAGGCCTTCAATACTGAAGAGGTAGTGAGACTAGACTGCACGCATGTTGGTACCAGCGATTGCAAAAGGATAGGCGTAAAATTAAGGGTACTGTTTGTATTGGTTAAGTTTAGACAGTTTGGTGGTGCTTATGGGTTTCTAACCCATTCTTCTTAATTTTTTCTTCTTCTGTACTTTATATATTCAGGATCTGGCGCCTTGCATCCCTCTTTTGTTCAAGGATGAGCAGATTATACTTTGGAGGGGGAAGGAGATCAAGAGCAAGACTCCAAGTGCATAGATAGATATGAAAAATCCACAGATGCTTAAGTGCGGTCAGGTTTGGTACTCAATTCTAAAGAAGTCTCGAATGCAAATGCCAATGCTCTATTAGGCAAGGTATAATATCAAAATTTTATGTTTGACACATTGTTCTTAAATATTACATGCCAAAGAGGACAAAGAAAATGTCATCCAACTAGCATTCGTTGTCAAACCCCATTCCTCCAACATTTAGTTTGCACTTTCTTGTCAATGTCAATTCTTTCCCTTGAACTACCATTTACCTTGCCATTTTTAAGCCCGTTGTGCTTGGAGTGTAAATGAGCCTGGCCAAGCTACGGGCTCAACACGAGTGATTTTTTTTCGAGCTTGTGCTTGGCTAAGGTTAGCTTTTTCAGACACTTCAAGCTTTTGGTTGAGTTAGTTGGCTCAACTTTAATTCTTTGGATTTAACTGAATCGATTTGGGTTTAATTCTTTTATGACATTTTACTTTTAGGGATAAACTTCTATACCCTATGAACTAGGACCTTGTTCCACCTTGCTCCTTGATCTTTATATTATAAGATCTAATGTTTAACTTTATGGGCAACCACCACTTAACTTTATGGGGCAACCACTACTTAGTACTATGATTATTCTTCTCAAGTAAAGTGAAAAGTCTTAGATTCGACTCTTGTAGATGAGGAGTTTGAAATCAATTATAATGGCTAGTCTATTGTGTACCTTAGTGCAATTCCTCACCCCTCATTTATCGTTTACACACTAAGGGGTTAGGGGAATAAATTGGTTTTGAACTCGCTAATCGCGTGACTCGGACCTAAGACTTGTCACTTACACGTGAAGAGAATATCACTAGATTGTAATACTAAGTAGCAGTATATATATTGTATTAAAAAAACTTCATGAGGCAATGAACTATAGGAGTTTTAAATTTAAACACAAACTAAACAAGAACAAAAGTCTTCTAGAAGAGAGAGGAACAAAACGCAGATTAAATAACTTAAACAAACATATGATAATGACTTAACGCAATCCTCTCATTCCTTTTGTATAAATATATCATTGTATTCAAAATAACTTAAACTAAATAGACACGTTGGTTACAAAAAATAGGCAGTCACATAGAGGCAGCCTCTCTTCCTAAAACGACACAGTTTATCATCTCCTTGTCTAACTCTCGTATTCATTTTTCAAAGGATCGTGTCGTGTTAATTGGGTCTAGTCCTGCAGGAGCTGACGATGATGCCAGTGATGCCAGTGACGAAAGGGTTGCTCCGTTCCAGAGCAACCTGAATGCACTTGCTACGGAATGGGACCCCGTAACTAACATGGCACCTGAAGAAGACAGGTTCTATTTTTTAAACATTTCTCAACTTATACCCTCTCAATGATTGTCGAACTACAGACTTTTTAAACTCTCCCAATGCTAACACTCTTTATAAAGATAACCTGCAATTGGTTTTGTGTGGGCATACGGATGATGTGGTCCCTTGGACGCGAGGGACATCCTCCGCACCACCCCCATCTCAGCGCTACGCTCTCTTCACACCTCTCCACCAGCGTCGGCATCACCATATTAACACTAGTTTCCTTGATCTCCCCCTCCGGATCATGAGGTTGAAGAAACTTCTAAGAATGAAAAGAAAATCTAGTTAGTTTCTCAATTCTCTCCCATTTTAGATTACTCATTGCTATGAACTCATTCATTTCTAATGCTTTACCACTTAAGAGTGTCCAAGTTCATTTATAGTGAAACGCCGAAGGGTTTTTTCGGTGAAATTATGGAAGTTACATAATTAATCGTATCCATCCTTGAGATATATTTTTCCTTATATTTATAAATTGTATCCATCGTTGTGATATATTTTACTTCATAATTATATATCGTATCCACATAATAAATATACCTAGATGCAAAATTTGTATTGTCGGTCTAGCTTAAGCTATACCTGTCTTGGATGAGATTTTAATTTGAATCTGATGTAATTAATAGGATATAAATTGAGATTTCTAATCCGAATATCTGAATGAGGTTTGAATATGATAATTTATAAATGGTTCCATAAATGAAGAAAGGTTGATCGGGTCCGATAATAATCAAATCCGACTTAATATGGCATGTTATTTAAATTTTTATACATTATTCTGAAAATCCCATGCTTGTGAGTAATTAAGTTTTTTCATGAATTCAAAATACACATGCTCTATTTTCTATCCAATGATACAAATAGGTAGACCTGGCAATTTCTTACACGATCCGTTAGTTCGACACGTAAACGACATGAAAATAACAGGTTTCAGGTCAACACGATAACTAATCAGGTCATTATTGGATCACACGATAATAACTCGTTAATAATGGATCCTTAACAGGTTTACATGAGAGAGACACTCATGTAACCTGTTTTAACACGATAAGAAAAAATTTATTTTGATGATTTTAATTTTTTAAACTACTAAAAAGAACTTACTATAGAATATAATAGATATCATGAATATGTATATATTGTTTAATAATAATTATTCTATATAAAGTTTAAATTTTAAGTTTTATTTATGTATTTATTTATTTTTATAGTATATTATAGGCAAACATTGAGATTAAAAATCATAGAACACATCAAAAATAAAAATATAAAGTAATTTAAAAATACCAAACACATTAAAAAAAATTATAATAATTAATTTACATGTGCAAAAAACATGAAACAAATATGCAAACGCTCGTAGTCACATCCTCTACGCTTTAAGGATGGGTATATGATCGTTTAAATTTTTAAAACCATACAAACTCTCATGAATAGTATTTTTAAGGGAGTTCAAAATAAACAAAATTCATAATCATTAATATGTAAGTCTGAAAGATATGAAAGCATAATAAACGTTCATAATTGCATCCTCAACGCTTAGACGATGGTTACATGGTCGTTTAGGTTTTTAAAACCCTCCAAATCTCATGAACAATATTTTTTATTTGAGTGCAAAATTAATAAAATTAATAATAATTATTGTAGAAGTATGAAAAATGTAATCACTCGCAATGAAAAGCTTTACAATTTTTATGAAGGGGTCAACTTCGAAATTTAGTATTATCTTTTACATTTTTTTGGGTCAAATTATGTTTTTCATTTTCATTTTTATTGATTTAAAATATATTTTTCTTAACGGGTAACAGGTTAGGTTATATTACTTGATAATATTAATGGGTTGATTTCGGGTCGGGTCATATTACCTGTTTATTTTAACGGGTATTACACGACACGATCCGTTAAGCTATAGGGTATGACACGAAAACAACATGAACACAAGAAACGCGACATGAATGCTAGGTCTACAAATGGGAGTCGAAAATGGATTCGAGGATAGTATATAGGGTAGTGCTATTCACTCTTTTTTACTACTTACATTCTTTTTAATTTTCAGCTGTCGGATCAAATGAATTGAAAAATATCAATTACAAAATATTAACAAAAGTGTGAGAGTTAAAAATAAACGTGTGAACAACACTATCCTAGTATTTATTGTAAACAGCACCACCCTTGACCAAGATGGGACCTATTCGTTGCTCGCGTTACTTGCTAAAGGGGCTATGGCCATTTATAATTTATAAGCTATTTCAGTTTTCGTTTTTTTTTTTTTTTTAATTTTTAATAGGCCGTTTAATAGCTATTTTAATTTTTAATTTCATTTTTTTATTCTAAAAATTTAACCTAAGTGTTGTATAACAGAACCCTCAGTTCTGTATGTATAACCAGAAATACATAACATTTACCACTAAGAACAACATAAAGGGATAATCTTACTATATATAAGTTACATTTTACATAAATACAGGGAAAATTCTACTACATAAATATACATGGTACATGCATGCATAAAGTTTGACAAATACACAGAAACGCTTGCACATTCGAACTGTAGAAAGCCACTTTTCCGAACAGGCCAGCCAGAAGAGAGCTCAAATAGCACAAAGTTCATCTTAAATGTAGACCCCCTTGATTTGATAAACTTCATTTGATTACATCTTCTATGGTTCGATGAGTATCTTCCTTTGTTCGTGTCTCTTCTCAGCAACGCATCCCGAACTAACCAACGAGGTTATCCAGACCTGATCGGATCTTACAGGCTCGTCATCGTCATTCCTATGCCAGGTCCATAAGGCATGGGTCGAGTTCTTTATATTCAGCTCACCATGACCGAAACTTGCTTCCCGGAAAACTGACCACTCAGGTGATGGGCTTTTATACCTGTAAATTTGTGAAAAATTGGATCAAATCTTAATATATAATCAGCTTTTCTCTGCTGTTTCAGCTGAAATATACAGAATACTGCAAAAAATTGGTAATGGAAACCCCCGCTCTGTATTGAAAGGGTGGAAGCTTTCGTTCTTTTCCAACACCAATGTTGGAGTACTTTAACAGTTAAAACAACCACCACGTTTGAAATGAAAGAGTCTAATGCCGATGAGACTCATATGTGCTGAGTACATCATAGAGAATTGAAAACTCAAATGTCCAGATCTCATGCCATTGAGAACCGATTTCAGGATTGTTTTTCCAAGCACATGAAAGTTGAGCAAACATTATATTTTCCAAAATTGGAAATTTGAAAATTTTGAGCACAGATACATACTTGTGAGCTAACCCTTCTCTGTTTCCGCCATCACCAATGGTTATGTGGACAGCACCGCATGTATCTGATCTTCCATTGTTCACGCGTTTCTGTCAAACAGGGCGTCATGGATTAAACATTGAGTGCCCTCAATTTATACTATAGAAAAACATGCGAAATTAACATAGCTATACCGTCCGTTCATAAGCATGAACATGACCAGCAAACACTATATCCACACTGGCAGCATAAAGCAATGGCTCCATTGCTGCCATCATGCTGTCCCCTTCACCTTGATGAGCCTTGTTACTATTGTACCAGGGAACATGAAATAGCACGAGCAGCCAAGGTGTCTTCTGTCGGTCAACCTTTGAAAGATCACTCTGTTTCACAAGAATGACATCAAATAACTGTCACATGTGCAGCTGAATGACTGGTTATGTTATAAAAAGATTGACTCAAGAGAGGCAGTGAAAGAAGCAAGAAGCTCCAAAAGCAAGATAGAAGATGAAAGTAAACGACTCCAAAGGTACATCTAAACTGGTAGTGTAGTAATAATACTTGAAGACAATGCCTTGTAGGTATATTCAAATATGGACCCCTCATCATCAAACTAACCTTCTGCACCTAAAGGCTACACTGGGAACAACATGAGAACGAGATTTATGTTAATAAATTTCCTTTTTATATGTTTCTACTTCCACAGTTGAGGCTCCAAAGATATTTTTGACCATCCCTAACTTCTGTACCAACTTATTTTGTGATGGATTGTTAGAATGGGTTCATCTACTTATTGAGCATACAAACAGATACTAGTAGCCACTAGGGATGAGCACAGGTACCTACTGCCACCGCCACATCCCTAGCACCCAATGTGCAATGGGTACCCAATGCCCATCCGTACTACCCATCATTGAACTTTTCAAGTTTCCATAGACAAAGGATATGAAGACACATGGTGGGAGGGCATGCCATGTGCACCCATCCAAAAAACTATTAGCCAATCAAAGCATAGTGCGATCTATGAGAATATGTCACATAAACACATATAAGACCTATATGAAAATGTTACAGAAAACATCCAACAGATGGCACATACCGTAAACAGTTACAAGATCCAAGAATCTACTGATAAAGAATCAGAATGATTATTACTAATATACTGTTTATTACTTAGTGTAGAAAAAGACTATTCCTTCTGATAGGAGAAGAGGATTTAACTAACCTTCAACCACCTGTATTGATCTGAATACTCATCATAATCAGTATATGAACCGAGCATGATAGCATGGACACCTGCAAGTTCGAAGGAATAGTAAAGATTTGAACTTGATCCGCTTTCTTCATACGGCATTTTCCACCTTGAATTATAGGATTGAAACCCATCCTTTAACAATGGTATATTTTCCTTTTCATGGTTCCCTTGGGTTACCATCCATGGCCTTGCACTTGCAAGTGGCTGCACCAGCTCACCAAATGTATCCCACCGAGACTGAATGTAATCAGCATATGAAAGGTCTCCAGGAAGCAGATGCACATCATATTTGCACTGGTCTATGTGGTCTAGGGTTGACTTTGTCCATCCAGTTTGTCCGAGATCTCCAGCCACAGCAAAAGTAATTGGAAATTGAGCTGGAGGGGTCTTGAACTGAAACTCAGGACCTTGGCCTCCACATTGGTAGAAGTAGACGGTGTCATGTTCAAGAGGCCCAATGACAGTATGGTGTATCTTTCCTGAGCTATAGAGTATATAAGTATAAGAGGTGCTTTCTCCTTGAGCTACAGAACTGTATGTCCCAGATGATGTTCCATATTCGACAACTGAAGTAGCAGATTTATCACCAGTGACCCACGTCACTCGCATGTGCTTGTCTCCTGCCAAAGAGACGTGCACCTGCAATAGGCATTTGTGCAGAAATGTATAATATTAGGGTAAATAATTAATAAAACCTGAAGAACACTGTAAAATTGGGAGTCCATAAAAATAAAATATCAGACAAAGACCTAATACCTAACAAATTACTTTCCCCGAGTACAAATCGTGTTGATTATGTCGCTATCAATGATAATCATGTTCATTATGCAATCATAACATCCAAGAACTCCAAATTTCAATTCAGTTTATACGCATTAACATGCCAATTAATTGAATAAAAGAGGATTTGTTGAAATTCAAGGAACATTCCCATATGTACTTCAGCCAAAAACCTTAGAAACTTATTCTGTTTAAGACAGAACGCACGGAGTCAATTGATTGACCAGAAAACTTTTCACCTGAAGTATGTTTATTTCTGCCCTATCCAGCTATGAAGGTTCATGAATTAAGGTCATAATTGGCAAAGCCTTGAAACAAAATTACGAGGCTTAATTGGGTAGAGGCGTTAGCAAACATGGCCCTAGGAAGAGGTATGAAATTGGCTGCAAATGGGGAGGTTATATGGTGCTGGTTAAAGTAGCCACTGGAACAAAATGTGCTGCAGCTCATGGTGCAACACGAAATGACTTTCAGTACCTAGTGTCTGAGTGAAAATAACAGAAAAATCCAGTGGACAAAGGTAAGGACTCAAATCGAGATAGGTCGCTTTGGTCAGAATGAATTTGATTCTTAGTGGCGCCTACGATTGAAAAAATGATAGTTTGGAATAACACCTGTTAATCTTACACTACCACAGAGCTCACAACCGCAAACAAAAACTAGCATTACACTGAGCAAACCAACACAACGACCCCATCTTGATTTCGATCAATTTCCAACCATGCTCTCTTAATGTTACACTAGCTGCCTCTATTACCTAAAAAAATAATAATCAAGTTACTCAACATACCGCTACTTAGTAGTAAGTTCTAGTGGTATTCCTCTTCCCTAGTAAGCGAGTGAGAGACATTAGGTTCAATTCTTGAAATATACGAATTTGAACTATATTATTATTATTGTTAGCTCATTGTCAGACTAAGTCAAACCTAAGATAATATTGTTTGTTAAAAAAAAGAAAATATTACTCAACATACCAAACCAAAGAAAAAGGTAAACAAATCAAAGATTAGACAGAAAGCGAAGTATTTTCTGGCAAACCAAACAGAACCCAAGTTAAAACGGAGCAATATTTTCCGGCTTTCGTGGAAAGTGGAGTTGGGATCCAAATTTTTCCACAGAAAATCTTGACATTTCCAGAAAGTGACAGAAACAGAGGAGCGAGAAGGTGGCGATTCACTCACCTGCTGGGGAAGAGAAGAGGATTTTCGACTCCATGGGAAATGGAGGGCCTTGCGAGGCGGTGGTCGGAGGTATTCATGGGCGGAGATGACGGTGGCGGAGATTAAGAAAAGGAGCGTGATTATCTGCTTGGGGTCCATTGATTCCCGCTTTGTCTGCGGCGATATCAATTACCCAGGTTCCATTTGGAGGCAGATTGATGCCCTTCCATCATTTTCTATTTGTACGTGGCCGTTAAATCATGTGAATTTTTTATATTTTTATTATTTTTTATCTTATTACTTATATAAAAAGATTAATATAAAATATTAATTTGGTTTAATTGTGATCGCACAAAATAAAGGAAGATGGAGAGGGCACCTAAACAAGAGGGGCAGATTGATGCCCTCCTGTTGGGTACCCTTCCTATCCTTTTCTATTTATGCTATCACAGTTAACCACATCAATATTTTATATTCCTATTACTTTTTATCATATTATCTCTATAAAAAAATATGCAGAACAGACAATTTGCCTTCGTTCCATTTTGGGTTGCTTTTTGGATTGTCGTAGTTAAATGACTAAATTACCCATTTGTCCCTGTCCTGAACTTTTATATTTCTGGGGGCGGTTGCATTTGGATGAGGTTGAGGCTTGAGCTAATATTTTGTTCAACAATTATATGACCACTTTGTAAATTTAAAATAGTTAAATTAAAAAAATTATTTTTATGAGATCTGTAAAAGAATCTCTACCATGAATAAAATGAAAGGAACTTTTAGAAATAGAGTTTGGACTAAATTTATTTTAACAAAAAAAATCATGTTATAGTTTTATTTAATGAAAAAGATTTAAAATTTAATAAAAAATATTAAATTTTAATAAAAAGGACCAAAAAAATATATAATTTTAATATTAAAAAAATGCTGACGCGCAGACTCACATAAATTTTTTATGAAATTTACTACGCTATTTATGAAACTTAATGGTACTACACTGTTTATGAAATTTACTATACTGTTTATGAAACTTAACAGTACTACACTGTTAATGAAACTTAACGATACTATACTGTTTATAAAACTTAACGGTACTACACTGTTTATGAAATTTAATGGTATGACACTGTTTATGAAATTTTCTACACTATTTATGAAACTTGTACCATATTTTCAAGTTCTCTCACTAGAATGCAAAAAAAAAAAAAGATTTAATTAAAAAAAAACATGATAGAGATCAACATCCACACCGATAAAGTCATGCATGGCTAAAAGATAAAATAAACATGATAGAGATCAACGTCAATGCCCACACCTGACCGACTCCCTCCCAACCATACCTTCCCAAATGTGGTTCTGAATCGAATGGAACCCACTTCAATTTGAAATTTTAATTTTAGAGGAATAAAATATGCTTGGAATTGAAGGATTGGTTGGGTACTCATTGCACGCGCCTTTAGGTAGGTTTTTTTTTTTTGTTTTTTGTTTCTCTTGTCCTTATCATTAAAATAAAGTTATAGCATAATTTTTTGTTAAAACTAAAAGTTTTGAAATCATTTTCATTAGTTTTTCCTAAAATTAATAGTTATTCTTTAAATTTTGAGTGCAACTACTTACTTGCTAAATACTAAAAAAATTAATAAATTCAAGGTGGACACTTGAGCAAGGACAAAAGGAAAGAGAGGAGGTTGGTTTAAAAAGTGAGTGCGTAGAGTAATAAATTATTTATAGTTTGTTAAAATAAAATATTAATAAAAAGTTAAATTGAGTAGATAAAATAATTTGAGTAGCTAAACTAGTGTTGTATATTGTTCATTAGCTAGTTTAACAAAAAATTAGAATTTTTCTTCGAGATGCTCTAAGGCACATTTGGGAATGTTTTATGAAGACGCTTGTTCTTGAGGTGCTTGGTGCAATCTTGTTGAGCTCATAAAATATTTTTAATATTAGGATAAGCACAATCAATCATTCGTTGTTAATAAAAATAAATTTAGCAAGCGGTATTTTTCCCAAAAGCAAGTGTATTAATATAGTAAGCTGAGTGTACTCAATTGACAATTTGAAGAGTTAAAAGAGTTATAAATTTATGAAGTTTAACAAAGTTTAATAAACCCCTGAACTTTGGGTGAATTCATTCAAAATCTTAGAAGACAAGCATGCTTTATTAAAGCTTAAAATCTTTTAAAATCTTTTAAATTCCTCTAAATTTATTGAAATCTTTCAATTTTTAAAATCCTTTAAAATAACTTCTGATTTAATACACCATGATTTTATAGACTTCTTTAACATCTTGATTGTCACATCCCGGCCCGAGGCGAATCACTTCTCGGGCCCGCTCCACCACCGTAGCACGATATTGTTCGCTTTGGGCTTACCATTCCCTCACGGTTTTGTTTTTGGGAACTCACGAGCAACTTCCTAGTGAGTCACTCATCATGGGATTGCTCTAGCCCCCTTCTCGCTTAACTTCGGAGTTCGTACGGAACCCGAAGCCAGTGAGCTCCCAAAAGGCCTTGTGCTAGGTAGGGATGAGAATATACATATAAGGATCACTCCCCTGGGCAATGTGGGATGTCACATTGATTGAATACCTTTAAACTTTCATGAATTTATTTAAAATTGTCTGAGTTTGTTTTTATCTTTCAATTTTCAAAATCTCAAATCTTTGATAAAATTTGTTTTTAAATAGTTAATGAAGGACTAGTTTAAGTACAAATTATTCAACCAATCTTTGTGGAGAATGACCTTGCATGAGCAAGTATACTACAATTATCTTGTACTCTTGCAAGTATTTGAGTGCATTTAACCCTATTTGTGCAACTATTAAAAATTCTATCAAGAATTTGGCATCGCTACCTATGATTGTTTTAAATAATTTGTTTGTATCATATTCTTGATTAATTATTTCTGTAAATAATTTTTATTTAATTGTAATTTTGGTTTTTCTTTTGCATATTTGCAATCTATGCATGGGCAGTACTAGGTCATAGAGACAACAGCTTGCCCATTTTACGTGAAGAGGGGCCTCACGTAAATGTTAAAAAAATAGATAGCATTTACAAGAATGTATAATACATGCTTGGGGTTTGAGCTAATTAAATTTTTTGAGGCACTAAATACATTTTCATGTTGAAATTAACCTTCTAATATCAAGTCAATATAGAGAGTAGTTAATCAAAATTAAAGAGGAACAAATCAATGAAAAACGCTAGGAAGATCATGTTTTTAGACCATATTTTGGAGACCACATCATGTGACGGTTGATGATTAGATTTCTTCTTTAATGATTTTAAGAGCTAGTCCAACCATTAATAGCTATATTATCACGTGGTCTCAAAATATGGCTCAAGGAGATGATCTCGACCCAAGTTAACATAGAATAAATTGGGAACTTTCGAACAAAAAAATGAGAAGAATGGATTGGGAATTTGAAGAAAGAAAAAAATTCAAAGAGAACTAAGAGATTTACAAACTTTAATAATGTTGTGGGTTGGGAATTTGGAAGACGAAATATATGAAATATCAAGAAAGGGACGAGGAAAAGCTCAAAGTTTATTATTATTCGGTTGACAATATTTTTTGTAAAACTAAAATAGACTTTAAATTTTAATTTTAAGAGTTATTTATAAAATAAAAATGTTAAATTTATTTTTAAGATGAGTGTTGTTGGGAAATTCAATGAAAAAGAGACCTCTTATTTTAATTATTGGTGAACAAAATTTAAGAGTTTTATATAAACTAAAAGAGGTATACTACTAAAGTTTGTAAAAAATATATAAAATTGAATGTTACGAATGGCTAAAAGAGTGAGGGTGGGGCTTGGCCTATACTGACTTATTAGTGCCTCCGTCCCTGTGAGCGTAAAATAAGACAGAGGTGAAGGGAGCGTAATTTGATGTGGGAACCCTCACTACATGGAATGTTTCTGGAGAATCTGTTTACTGGGGTTTTGAACAATAAGGATACAATAGCATTAGTGATACTAGCAGCTGGCCAACCCTTGCGAGAGTCTTTAGCAGTTCGTGCTAATGACTTGCTGAGTTGCATTGTTTATCAAGAAAATGAGGAAGGTGATTCATTTGAGATAAGGCATCACATGTTGGAATTCGCCTACTTTTCATGTGTTATCTCACGATGATCCTAACATGCGTATCACTAAATTTTTGATGGGGTGCAAGAACATCTTGGTTAAGAGATTTTCAGCCGAATCTATCAAACTTCTTTTTTCCTTACACTCTAAAGAAAAAAGGAGAAGACATGGCTCTTCACACTTCTATTTGGCAGCATTACTTCCTGAGAGCTATTGAATGAAAAATTCCTAAGGGAGTTCCATCCAGCCTCCAAGACTCTTTCCATGAGGAGGGAAATTTTGTCTTTTGCTCAAAAACCACATGAAGAGTTCCACTAGGCATGAGAGCAGTACAAGGAGTTATTCACAAAGTGTCCCCGTAATGGCATTGTTGAAGATACACATACAAAACTGTTCTTTGACGGTCTAAATCAAACTACCAAGAGTTATTAATGCATAATCTGGAGGCGCGTTGACGTTTTAAAAAGTCAAAGAAGTGTTTAGGTTATTTGGGAACATTAGCAGCATGAATCACAACAATGGACATCTGAACTATCACAAAAAGGAGCATTTTTGAAATTATATCACCTAACGGCTTGATATTTGTTGAGAAAATAAAAAAAATGGAAAGCAAAGTCACGGGGCTAAATAAATTAAGCAGACTATAAGGTAGTTCACTAACTTCAAAAAATAAAAATAAAAATAAAAAATAGATTCCTTCAGTTGACCGCTACCACACATATTGCCGGCATTTTCTAGTGTCACTTGGAGTGTCTGCTTGAGTCAACAAAAAACAAAAATCATTCTTATTTTATAGTCAAATTTTCTTAAAATTTCTACAAGGACCTCGTAACGTGTAGTACTTGGAAATTTCCAAAATTAAAAACAAAAACACGTAATATGTTAAATTTTGCATCACCCATTGTTGTCAACGATACGAATGCCATACTAATTCAAATTCGGGATAAGATGGTTGATTATGAAATTTTTATCATTATATTAAGGTGACGTTTCAAAGCAAAATACATGCATACATTCGTGCTTACAAAATGGTGTTGCCCCAATAAGAAGTTGGTTCATTGACGGATTTAGATTCCATCCGAATTCAAATTATGGAGATTCTAGGAATTCTCACATTCTAACTGTTTATCGTATATCGTGTGATCATAAATTACTTTGAATTTTTTATTTAAAATTAAACACAAATATTACATAACGAAAATTGATCGCATGATGTACAATGAACGGTCATGATGTGAGGATCTCTAGAATTTCCATAAAAATAATCCGAAAAGGATCCTCATCCGTCCACTGACTAGTATCTTTTTATTAAGTTTGTGATAAAATTGAAAGTTTCAAATAATTGTAATATCTTAAATCATAAGAATTAAATCCCCTTCAACCACGTTGCATTCAATCTTTTTACTTAACAATCTCTTTACTTATTTAATATACCTCGATCATACATATATTTTTTTGCGTGGATATTATGCGTATGTAATAGATGTATCGTTTGTAAGCTTCTTATGATATACGTTCAATTTAAAAAATTGCTTGGATTTTTGAACCTGGATCTAACTACCCTTTAATTCAACAATTGCGTGGTTTTTTTTTTATTTTTTTTTATTTTTTTATACATAGAAAGTGATTAAAGTGAATTAGAATATTAATGGCACATTTTTGTATTTCCGTAAGGGGCCCTTTTTCTCCTCTACGCATTTTTATTTAATTATGTTTGTTGTTTTATTTGATTTGTTTAATTTGATAATCGAAAAATAAAGAACTGTGAAAGATTTAAATGGTCTGTGAAAATCAACTTCCTTTCATAAGAGTTGCTGTAAGCATGCTGTTGAGGTTGTTTCATAACGACTTTTCATTATTGAAAATTTGACACCACTTTATTTAATTTATTACATTCTTGTTCTCCTCATCAAGTGAAGAACACAAATGTAAGACAGTAGAAACACAGAAAAGATGCCTCCGGAAGGGAAAGATAACAGTGGTTTGCTACTAGTTGTCTCTCTTTTAAAAAAAAGGAGGGAAACACAGAAAAGATAGCTAGTCCACGACATAAACGTATGACAAGTAGGAAAATATATAGACACTACAGACACATAAAACATGATCAAGTCTGAAGGCGATATGAAGGAATAAGGAGCAAATCCTTGGTCCTAGAAACTACAAGACCAAACACCTCAGTCATATCCAACTCATTTGGCAACATGTTGTCTGGAAGTTCCCAATCAAAACAATGCACAATCTGTGCCAACACAAACTGTATCACAGTAAGCCCTAACTGCATTCCAGCGCAACGTCTTCTGCCAGAGCCAAACGGTACAAGCTGAAAGTGCTTTCCTTTAACATCAATATTGCTGCCCTCAAACCTTTCTGGTACAAACTTCTCTGGATCTTCCCAAGCACTTGGGTCTCTCCCAATTGCCCATGCGTTTATGATGAGGCGCGAATTTTTCGGTATGTGGTAGCCATCGACAGTGCAATCTTCGATGGATAAATGAGGGAGCAACAATGGTACCACAGGATGTAGCCTCAAGGTTTCCTTCACTACCATGTCCAAGTACTCCAATTTCTCCAAGTCTGATTCCTCCACCATTCTATTGAGACCTACAACATTTTCTAGCTCCTTTTGGACTTTCTTCATAACTTGTGGATGCCTAAGGAGTTCTGAGAACGCCCACAGGATTGCAGTTGACGGTGTGTCCACTGAGGCCGCGAACATGTCCTGCCAATAAATTTTTCATTGTTAGATGAAGTATATATATAGTAGTGCGATACGTACATGTACATAGATGACAATTTAATGTACATGATGAAGTACAAATTTGTACCATTAACAGTCAATTTAATATATTCAAAAGAAAGTCAACCTAATAGTTCAGAATCACAATCTTAGACCACATCATGTTAAATCGTACAACAAGAAACAAGTTCCTTGATGTCAAGCAAGAATGAAAAGACAAATATGCAAAATGATATGTATACTTACCAACATAAGGGCCTTGACATGCACGCGTTCGATTCGGTAGTCTGATTCTTCAGACCCCATGTGGCCCAGCATGACATCAATAAAGTCCTTTGTTCTTTCTTCATCCTTGGATTGAAGATGGTCGTCGATTATCTTGTCAAAAAAAGCATCAAACGCCTTGTTGATAGTCTTCATTTTTTTGGTGAGCCCTTGCAGGTCAAGCGGCGCAAGAAAAGGAATGTGGTCATTCAAGTTAGGTGCTGCTACTAATTGGATAGCCTCTTTCATCACCGCCGTGAAACCCCTCTCGTCAAACTCATCGTCCTTGTACTTCTTTCCAAACACCATCCGACAGGTCAGGTCAACGCCGAGCGATGAGATCTTGCCACTGAGATTGATAGGAACCCGTCGATTATTGGCTTCCTCTTGGACAGATTGAATCAGAAGAGAAACCTCTTCTCTCCTCATGGCCTTGAAAGAGTTGATCTTGTGGTTGCTAAGTAATTCGAGCATGCACATCTTTCGCATATCGCGCCAATACGAGCCATACTCAGCAAAGCTCATGTTCTTTTGACCAAATATGATGTGCTTTGCACCTTCATGAGGTGGTCTACTTGCAAAAGTAAGGTCGTGCGTTTTGAGGAACAGCTCGGCCGCTCGTGGGGACGAGATAACAACGTTGTGGTGGAGGCCTAACCGCATGTACATGATGTCGCCGTATTTCTTGGCTAGTTGATAAAGATCCCTGTTAGGGACCTTCCCTAACAAGTGGAGGCTGCCAATGATAGGAAACCCTCTCGGACCAGGAGGTAGCATCTTGTTCTTGTTCTTGCCTTTTGATATCCATGTTTGCAGGATGTGAACAAGTGCAAGCACCCCAATTGTTGCCCAAATCCAAAGTGCCATATTGCTCTATGGGAATTTTCAGGGAGGTTTTAGCTGTTTCAGACTTCGACCAGGTCTCAATTTGTTTCTTTGAGTATTATGAATGCTAACTGATGCTTGATTTTATAACTGTGGAGGAGTGGAAAAGTCCAACTACTTGCAGTCTTGGACCTGTCCATTTTTGCTATTATTTTATTTTCTTGGACCTGTCCAATTTTGCCGTTATCGTATTTAAAATCGTTGATTTATTAACCATTGTTATAAAATTATTCTTATAAAAAATCAATTAAATGCCACTTAGTATTACAATCTAGTGGTATTCTTCTTCACTTGTAAGTGAGAAGTCTTAGCTTCAATTCTCGCCACAAACGAATTTGGATCACATTATTGCTAGCTTATTGTGGGGCTAATTAAGGCTAACCCCTCTATTTAATGTAGATAATATCGTTTGTTAAAAAAAAAAATCAATTAAATCAAATATCAATTTGTCATCCATATATAATTAATAAATGGACAATTTATAATGAAATGTTGGTTAATATCAAGATAATCTATTTCTTGAATGCATGTGAATAACTAAGGATCTTGAATTTAATTAATTATTTTTTAAAAATGATCTTAAAAATAATAATTAAGAAAATATACAAGTGGATGAAAGTATTTCCCTTCCAGCTTATGATTTCAAAGATTGAACGGCCCATTGGACAAGATTCAAGATTGAACGGCGGGCGGAAAAGATTGGAAATTCAACAGGAAGGAGTGGCAGCTAAGAAAACCACGGTAGCACTATTGTTTGTCCTATTTTGTGATCAGGTATTTTGATTGTTTCTTGGAATATATAATTTTATAAGGAGATGGGAGTTTTTCCTAATAATTAAAAGAAAATTAAGCTGAGAAAAGTCGAAGGACAACTCTGCCATTTAACGCCGCGGAAGCAGAAAGGACCGAGTCTTTGTTCACCCAAACAGGACCGGGCCTTTGTTTGGGGTCTATTTATTTGTTCTTATCATTGAAAATATGCCGAATTAAAAGTAAATTATTCGGTAGTATATTGTGAAGTTTAGAGTTAGTATGATATTGTTGTATTTTTTTAAAAAAATATTATGTTTTGTTATATTGTGAACATAAATAGATATAAAAAATGCAATTGAGTATTTGATAAACTTTTTTTTTTTTTAAAGTAAAAGTGGGCTTTCAAATTGATACTGTTAACTCGTGTTTTGAAAAAAAAAAAAAAGATTTATATTTTGGAAGTTGCTATTTGCTACTTCCACTTTTTGGCTTCAAATGACCAATACTTTTGAAAAAAAAGGTTGGCCTTTGTTTACCAAACACAAAAACATCCCAGCTTTTTCCCCACATGTTTGAAAAAAAAAAAAAAAAATTTGAAGCAATACCATATTGATAATAGTTTAATTTCTCATTTTTAATGTAAATAATATCGTATATACAAAAAAAAATGTTCATTGAGTGTTTTTATTAAGACCTTGTTTTGTTAGGCTATTTTTATTAAATTCCCTATAAAAAAAAAGGGTTTTACATGTAAACGATTGATAACATTGGCACTAGAGGAGAATACTATTTCAAAAGATAACAGTATGACTCGAGGAAAACAGTATTTCAAACCCAATACTTTTGAAAACAAAAACAAATTACTTTGCAACGAGACCAAAGGAATTTCACAATTAAAAATAAAATAGCGCATGGCAACGTGGACATATGATGATTTTTTTGGCTAAATTTCTCAAATGGTTTTATATGAAAAAAATATAGGCTTAAATGTCAAAATGGTTTTTGTGTTTTAGCAATTAGGTCAGTATAGTCACTCCGTTTTTAATTTGGCCAATTTGATATTTGTGTTTATCTTTATTAGTCAATTAAGGACATTCCATCCAATCATTCTTAAAATTTTCATAAACTATTATAAAATTATCTATTTGATTTAAAATATTTAAAAATAAAATAGAATAAAAATTAAAAGAAAAATTACTCTTGTCCCAACTTCCCGACCTCTTGTCTAACGTTCTATCCTCTCCCAATTTTCTTGCCTCCCTCTTTTCTGTGTCACAACCTTAATAGTTTTTTAGATTTGAAGTATTATCTCTTATATGTGTTATTTCTTATTGATATGCATTTTTTTGTAACTTAAATTTAAAATAAAGATAAAGGGTAGTATATGGCTCTCTTAATTGCAGTCTACTTTTTAATTACAAAGTTGAAGATGAGGAGGTCATGATTAAATTTATTAGGACTACAATAATGGAACTCGTGCAATGACAGGTGGATCTAGAGACGCGTTCGTTGAGTTGCCAGCGTGTGTGGTTAAGGTTGGGATTTGGGTTAAGGACAGGATGGATGGCAAGGTGGGTTTGTTTTAATAATTTTTTTTTTCATTTTGAAATTAAATTTCTTTTTATCTTAATTGAAAAATATCTTTCTATAATGGGTTATAATATTTTTATGAATTTATAGAAATTGGATGTAATGTCCTTAATTGGTTAGCAAAGATTAACACGAAGACTAAATGCCAAATTAAATACACAGAGGCTAAATTGGTCAAATGACTATAACACATCGACCATTTTGACATTAAGCGAAAATTGTATAGTTTTGTTGAGGTGTTCTTTTCCGTTTGCTTACTTTTTTGACCAAGTTGTGGCTTTAAAAAATATAGGTAATACTTGCATTCCTCCTCTTGGAGGGATAAGCTTATTCTTCCCTTGCGAATAACGTGTATTGATCATACAAATTTATAGTTGGAACCCTTCAGTTTCTTACTCTTCATTTGAGTATCACCCCCATAAAAAGTCATTTCAACAAAAAATTATCTAGTCATTCAAATGTATACAACAAATCAACGGTGGTATAGATACCAAGTAATATATTTATGGTGAACCACAATTATTTTGATGAGTTGGGATGATAAAACAATCTCCGATTCAAATGGTAATTTTTATGAGTGATCTTTAAGTAAAAATTGATAAATTGAACGGTTCAGATCATTGATTTTATTCAAACAAGATAGTATTTACAATTGGGGATATGTGGGGATGCAATTAGTATCCAAAAAATATTCATTATTCTAGTCTCGAACTTTAATATATAAACAAATAATGAACGTAAAAATCACTTCCACATTAAAAAAAAAAAATCACTAATCTCAATTAACAGTACCACGTTAATTAAAAAGATAACAATCGGGTGGCGAATTCAAATCTCTCACTTTCCTGGGTTGGTGAATCAAGATAACGATCGTATCTATCTTTGAAGGAAGGGGAAAGGGATCCTTTCCGGATTCCTTTCCACTACAACATCTAGTTCGGGATCTGGATTGTTAAAATTTAATCCAACGATTATAAACAGAAGGTCACTTTAAATGTTATAATAATTGTAGCCGTTGAATCAAAATCCAACGGCCCGGATCCCGGACTAAATGGATTTGGTGGAAAGGGATCTGGAGACGAGCACTTTCCGAAGGAAGGGATATCCATTTCTTCAAAGTAGGGATTGGTTGTGGGGCTTATATTACATCGAACTTCAACAATCTCAATAATTTATTTTTCAAGTTGCATCTCATAGATCTTCCTTACAAAGTACTAGCCAAATAAAAAATATTTGAGGTATCTAATTGAGTTTAAAGAAATTGATGAACATCATGTATGTTCTAAGAAACATTGAAATTTCATCGTAACAGTTAAATGACAATGCCTAGATTGTTCTTTTCCCATTAGAATTTCAAAAAATATACAAAAAAAATACAAAAGTTAACTTTTATATATAAAGAATTAATCAATGTAAAAATCACTATTAGTTTAGTATTTTTTTTTTTTTTATAAAACGATAGATTTTATTAAATTAGATGTTAGATTAGTTATTGACAGAGTTCGAACCTACGTCATTATGCAACAACTTAATATATTTTCATCACGATAGTCAAAAGCCACTTGCATTTAGTATATTTGTTTGACTAATAGCAATTTACAAAACCACGTCGTTGATTAAAAAGTAACAATCGGGTGGCGAATTCAAAGCTTTCACTGTCATGGCTTGGTGAATCAAGATAATAATATCATTTTGCTGGGTTGGTGAATCAAGATTACAATGGTGTGCGTGTGTGTGTGTGTAGATATATATGACGTGATTAGTTATGGTGGGGGTTGGTGAATCAAGATTACAATGGTGTGTGTAGATATATATGACGTGATTAGTTATGAGGCTCATATCATATCGAATTATTTGGATTGTCTATTTTTCAAGTCGCACCTTTTAGATCATCTTTAAAAAATATTAGCCAAATCGAAAATATTTGTGACATCTAATTGCGTTCAAAGAAATTGACAAACAATTTGTTCTATAAGAAACAATGAAATTTCATTATGATAGTTAAACAAACAAATGATTTTGGATTGAATTGAATTTTTTGTAAGGATGATCTATGAATGAGACTTACAAAAATAGACAGTTCGGATCATTGAAGTTCGATGTAGAGTGAGTCCCACGATTGTGTGTTTGTTGCCTTGGACTATCTTAGATTGGACTAGCTTAAGGGATTACGCTTGACTTGCTTAAAATAGACAAATCTGGACTAATTTAGTAAAGCGTTTGACACAAAGTCGGACTAGAAAGCATAGTAATGAAAAAAAGAAAAAAAAGAACTATATATAACAAAATATTCATGCTATTTGCTTCAATCCAACACCAAGGGAGCATAACCCCAATTGAAAAACCGAGGCACAAAGCTAAATATAAGAAATTGGAAAAAAATTGAGAAATCAAATAAGCAATTCCAAAAAATATAACAGGTGAATCTGAGCCACTTATCCTTTACTTTCCCAATTCTTGTAATCTAACTTCAACTTCTAACTACAAACTAAAACAAAGATAAGATCTTTATATTGAAACAACAGAACCAAACCAGTTCTGTAAACACGAAATTCTGTAACGAATGAAATGAGAACACGTGTACAAAGTAGATTTGTATTGATGAATTTGTAGGGTTACAATCTCTATTTGCAACTTTCCTCTATTCAGTCTCCAAATTTGATGTAGATGTGTAGGTTGTTGATCTAAGGGTCGCGATGACTTGATCTTAGATGAACGATTGA